AGGCATGTGCTATCACGTTCAGTTGCTTCATGGCATTTTAAAGAAATGCATTTGATATGAACTGCTTGTGACATGCCAGCTTCTGGGAGGCGACAATTCCATCTTCCCAAGTCTGATGTCTCATCTCAAAGCAGAGCCTGATCAGGCTTGGTGGCACATAACTGTAATCCAATACTTGTGAGGCAGAGGAGGATCGTCATGATTTCAAGGCCAGCCTAACCAAGACTCTATCTCAGAAAAACAAACAACAACAAAAACTAAACCAAAATGAAACTAGAGTCTATAGGCAGCCACTGGAGGGCAGGTAGCTCTTGGCACCCATGGTGGAAAGCACTCTGTAAATGGCACGCAGACTCTGGAGCAGTGCCTCCGGGCCCTGCCTGCGCCCCACCTCCAGTAAGCCCTATCTCGGCGGAGCCTGCTCCCTGCCCGCTTCCATACCTTCTTCTCCTCGTGGACTATGTAGTAGACGAAGAGGATGCTGTCACGGGCCCCATCGTGGCCTGTGAACTGCTCCAGGGCCACGCGGACGTCCACCCACTTGTGGGGCTTCCAGTCACACCACCACTGCAGGGTTCCTGTCTTCACCCACACAGACTGCAGCCAGCACCAAGACCACAGGGACACCGTCACTACTGACCCCTGGCCCCGCATACCCAGCCCCATTCCATACCCCAGAACCGCCCTACTCCGACCCCTCTCCCCCCCATGAATGACAAGCGTCATCGCCAGGCACTGGACTGAGCCAGAACTGTCCCTGCATCACCTTCTCCCTGTCATGCAGCCAGCAGGACTGTTACTATTAGTCCACATTCTGGATGGGGAAATGGAGCCCCAGGCAGAAGCCAAAACTAGCTGGGTAGCAGAGAGGGACCCACACTCCACCCTGTCTGCCCTAGCTCTGCCTGGGCCAGGACCTGGAAGGAAGCCAGGCATTTGGCCCTGTGACCCAGCTCCCCATGCTGATAGTGGCCTCCAGGGGTGGGGCTCTGCCTCTGGGGTGACACAAGCTGCACCTCAGGGAGGGCGAGGACCACTGGCCACTCCATCCTGGCTCATTTCAACAAACCACAGGGCACTGTGTGTGCTGGGTTCTCTGCAGGGTAGGATGAGGTGACCTCAGACAGAGACAGAACAAGATGCGTTGCCACTCCCCTCCTTGGCCGTCTCCTCTGAGACTGCTGCCCTCTCTGGGTGCCAAGGCCCTGCACAGTCGCTGGAAGGCAGCGGGCCCCTGACTGTCCTTCCAGATGGACGTATGAATGAGTGAGTCCATTTCCGCATCCTTAAGCCGTCTGAGACAAGTGGGCAGAGGCAGGGATACTGCTGCCTGCGCCTTCTCCCCAGCTCAGAGCTGGCAACGGCAGGCACTCCAGTCAAGGCCTGCTGAATGGAGTGCAAGGGGACAGGTGGGCACCCACCTGCTCCACAGCCTGCTCATAGTGCCTGAAGTTCTCCAGCTCCCGCTTGGTCCTCTCTGTGAGCTGCTGGAAGATCTGCTTCCTCCAGGTGGCAGTCTGGGCCGGCGAGATGGACAGGGACAGGGTCTGCACTGAGGGAGACAGGCCTGCAGGAGGCCAGCGCCTCAGGGCCAACGTGCTGGCCTCCTGCAGCTGGGAGGATGCCAGGGCTTGCTCTCCCCACTCTGCTTTTTTTTTTTTTTTTTTTCTTTTTTTCACTACTGGAAGTTGAACCTGGGACTTCCCACTGCGCTACTTTCCCAGCCCTTCCTAATTTTTATTTTGAGACAGGGTCTTGCTAAGTTGAATTTATGATCCTCCTGCCTCAGCCTCCCAAATGCTGGGGTAGCCCTGCTTGCTAGATAGCTCCGACCTCTGCAGAATGCACTATCCACTCTCCTCTCAGGATCACCCTGAGGAATAAGTTGCCAGCTTAACAATTCATCCCAGAAAACTGCCATCGGTGCCAGGACAGGGAGGGTTGTGACAAGGGGATGCACACTGGTCCAAGGCCTTGGTTAGAGAGTTGGTGCCAGTGCCCCTACACTGAGCCTTAGACCATGCCCTACACCCCACAGCAGCACCACTGGGAACACCTGGCCCTGCAGGGCCCCTTACCCGACTGGACAGTGAACCACTTGAGCATAGAGCCGGCCTCCACTGCGCAGCCACCCCCGGACACCCAGGCCCACAGAGGGTGGTCGTCAGCCCCGTAGGGCTCGTCCAGGCCTAGGGGCAAGAGCCCTAGGGAGGAGTGGCTCGTGGTCTCAGCAAAGCCTGCAGCAGAGTGGCTGGGTATCTTCCTGGGCTCCTTCAGGTCAATGCTGGTCCAGGGCAGCTCAGCTGCAGCGGAGGCCGGCAGGGGGCGCGCACTGCCGACAGAGGCCTGAGCAGCCTCCCTGGCGCCCGCATCAGGACAGAGGTTCTCCGAGGCACACTCGGCAGTCCCTCCAGTCTCGGGGCCTAGGGCTGCACTGTCCTTGGGGTCCCTGGAATTGTCCAAAGGCTCTTCAGGCGCAGACCACTCAGGCCTGGGTCTCTCCACTTCAGCGGCAGCATCAGTGTCACTGGGTGCAGACTCACTGCCACCCTTCACCTCGTCGCCAAAAAAGCAGCCCGCACTGAGGACAGAGCAAGATAGGCCGTCACTCCCTCCTAGGGATATGGGCCAGTACTAGGACCACCCATGCCATATGGAGCACGTCACAACCTCTCTGAGCTCCTGTCTCCTCTGCACAGGTGGGTGTGTACTTCCCAGGGGTCGAAAGACTTGGGCCACACCCTAGGCCATGACAGCAGTGTACATGGCTACGCCCATCTGGAACTCATCTTCCCTTTTGTAGTGCTGGCGATTGAACCCACGGCCCCTGCACTGAGCCACATCCCCAGCAATTTTTTTTTTTTTCTTTTTTCTTTTTTGAGACAAGAGTCTTCCTAAATCACTTAGTTCCCCAGACTGGGTTCAAACTTTCTTCTGCTCCTCCTGCCTTGGGCTCTCAGAGTGCTTACAGGCCTGTACCACCATGCTCAGGAATTCTTTACTGCGATAAAATACCCATGATGTGAAGTCGATCGTGTAAACCATGTGAAAGCATATACTTCAGGGACTTTCGTATACTGACGGAGTTGTGCAGCCATCGTCGCTGTCTACTGCCACAGCATTTTCATCACCCAAGTGGAAACCTGGTACCCGATGGGCCGCCGCCCCCATCCTCCCCTATCCTCACCCCCAGGTCCTCTACAAAACACCAGTTTACTTTCTGTCACTATGGATTTGCCTGTTCTGGACATTTCATCTAAGTGGAACCACGGAATCAATGTGTCTCTTCCATGTCTGGCTACTGTCGCTTAGCATAGTTCCTTCCTATTTTGTTTTGTTTGACATAGTCTTGCTACATAGCCCAGGCTGGCCTTGGACTTGTGGTCCTCCTGCCTCAGCCTCTGAAGTCCAGGGAGCATAAGCAAGTGGTACTGTGATTTAGAAGAGTTTTCTTAAGGTTCATCTATGTCACAGTCCTGTCATTGATAAAAATTTTGTTTTAGGAACCATGAAATTCCTTTCCCAGCAGCTGCCCCACCTTACACACTCACCAGCAATGTGTGAGGGCTCTCATTTCGCACTTTTTTAATAGGGGGAGTTCTCATTTCTACAAACCCTCTCTAGCATTTCTTTCTTGAGTCCCAGCCCTTCTGGTGGGTATGACCTTACTGAGGTTTCAATTTGCATTTCCCAAATGACTAATGATGCTGAACATCTCTACATGTGCTTGTGGTTTTTTGTATATCTTCAGAAAAATATCTATTTGTGTCCTACTACTGAGTTGCCCTCCCAGTCCAGCCTGGGAGTTATCTTCTTGCTGTTAAGTTGAAA